TAATATTACACAAATATCTACTTTGATTAAATTATCAATTCTAATATTACATATTTATAGTTAATTTTGTTATTATATATACACAAAAAATATATAATATTAATAAAAAATAATCTCACATATGATAATATTAAATTTTTATTATCAAATTTATGATTTACAAAATATGTAATAATTATAAATGTTATTAGTGGAATGTTAAATATTAACATATATATACCTATAAAATCTTGACATAATCGGTAGCCATTATTGATTGTCAACTATACCCCATATAATCAACTCATTAATATAATTGATAGAATTTTTATCTATCATAGGAGTATAATCGATAGCTTTTTGACTGTTAATTATATTCTTGTTATTTAAATGTTGTTTTCTAGTAGTGATAAAAGGATTGATTAAATTGTATAGAATAAAATAAAAATTTAAAACTAAAAACAATAAAAATAAAAATTAATGAACTACATTAACAAGTTTTCAAAAGCTTAGAGGAGTCTGAAACCTAGGATCTAGGACCCAGGACCCCTTAGCTTCACCAATGATTTTAGTTATTAGTTAACTTATACCTTATATATAACAATTTAGGTATAGAAATCAGTTAAATGGATTAGGTGTGTTTATATATATTTAAGCATAGATCAAGTATACAAATTAGATATACAAGTATGAACCTTTATCATAATAAATATTAGACCCAATACTTGATAGGTATGTATTTTTCATTTCGAATATTTAACCATCTATTTCCAAATACATAAATTACCTACCCAAACATATTACGTATCCACATATATCAGATATATAAACCCTTGTTTGATAGTAAGGTGTTCAGGAAAGTAGTCCACCGGGCATTAATTAAAAGCTATGTGATAATAACTAACTAATTTCTATTGGGCCGTAGGCCATTTTAGTCTCATTTCTAATTTGTTTGTATTTGGGCCCTGATTTGCTCTATTGATCCTATATTTTCCTTGATAAAAGGGGTAGGGGGCAAGTGCTCTTTTATTGGGCCCCTAGGCCTCATTATTTCTACTTTGTTCATATAAATTTATATTGGGCCCAAAACCTTTCTAGAGTCCTTCTATTGAGGCCCAGTCTTTTTAAATATTAATTTATTTGTATTGGGCCCTAACAAGTTGATTAATAGTTAAATACTCCGCATGTGCTTGTTTTTTTTTTTATCGAAGGAAATTTTTTGGGTAAAAGTTAAGAGTAAATTTATTATATGTTTTTATTATTAATTTATAAAAAAATAAGTGTATAGACTATATAATAAAAGTGTAATCTATTTTATAAATTTATTAAGATATAATTTATAAAAAAATAAGTGTATAGACTATATAATAAAAGTGTAATCAATTTTATAAATTTATTAAGATATTATTAATAAAAACACTAACTATAATATTATATGGTATTATAAATATATAACATAATGTATTCTTATATAATTAACTTGTTTTATTTAAAAATTTATATATGATATTATATGTAATTACTTGTTAAATACTATATCATATTAATTTAATATCATATTATAATTATAAAATTTTAATTTTACATGATATTATAATTATAATATTATCACATTGCTAATTTTATAATTGTGTAACAATTTGAAATCTACTACGTTATTAAGGAGAATGTTAAACAATTTTTTATTAAGTTTAAGGATACTCCATTTTCTTTTATCAACCAAATTAGGATACTCTATCTAAAATTAATAGAACACTTAATTTTTTTTTTTTTCCCTCCTTTGTATTTCCTAAAGAGGGGACCTTCTAGCTTCACCATATGATGCATATTCACCACATCCAGCCCGATGTTGGGTTACCTTTGGCTCAAAATTGACTGCAACGATAAACGACCTGGGGGGTTCGATCGGGCATCTGCACTCAAAGTATTAGGCATTAGAGTTTATTATTATTATTATTATTATTATTATTATTATTATTATTATTTTCTACAGTATTAGGCATTAGTTCTTTTTTTTTTTTCTTTTATTTTAAGTTATACAATATAAAATAACTTTCCCTTATCCATTTTTTTTGTTTTATCCACAATTTTCTGTAGGCTGACTGCACTTGTAAGCCATGCATGATGCAATTAGAGATCAACTTTGACTCAATATTTGTAGTTGAAAATAAATGGGACCTTTTTTATTCAATACATTTTTTGATATTTGAACCATTTAACTATTAAAATATAATATAAGTACATTTGATTTAATTAATTTTTATATGTTGTATACATGATTATATCTTTAAATTTATTTAGTTTTAATTTCAAAGCAAAAAAATAATAATTTTTTATTGAGTGTATTTTATATGTATTAAATTAGAGTGTACCAACCAATATTCATTTTCAGTGAAAGTTAAAGAAGTTACATAAGGAGGTTAAATCGAAACAATTATAGTCACTTAGGTTATCAAAGGTGTAAGTTAAATAAGGAGGTTAATTTATACACAAAGAGAAAGTGTGTGCCGTATAATTTTTCATTTTTATATGAAAGAGAAAATACTTAGAGAAAATTGATTCACAAAAACTTAATAATGATTAATGAAGGCTTTTGGGTTCAAAATCGCATCTTACAAATCGAAAGTAATGTGTCCATTCAATTTTTATTTTTCAAAAATTAAGAAAATATTTTTTAGAAGGTGCTTGTTTTGAAGTTTTATAAACAATTATTAACCGTTATAATTGAATATATTAGATATTCTTAATTATAATTTTTTTTTGAAAAGCGCCAAAAAAAACTAATTTATTTGAAGAGTATAAAAAGTACTCAAACCAATAAACACATTGAAAGTTTAGTTAGTAAAACTAGCACCAACTGATTAAAATTTTTTACAGCATTTTGTTACCAAGCACCTGCTTGAGTTTGGCACCAGTCAAAGAAAGAATAAGGCCAACCTTCTAAATTTCCACTTATCCAAAAATAGAAGTGGCTTTGTATCATGTTGACCACACAGTCCCCAGACTCTCAATTATAAATAGTAACAATATCAGCTATATTTGAGCTATTAATTCAAACACTCCCTTAAACATTAACAAGCAATTTTGTTTCAAATTCGTATAACCACACCTATGAATATATTATTTCGTTTTTCTGTTTTTCTCAACTCAAGTTATGGTTGTTCGAAATAGCATTATTATTTTTCTTATAGAAAATAGAAATTATATTAAAATACATAAGATTGAGATTACATATGAATTTCATTTTTTTGATCAACCAAAAAATTTTATTTATGGAGTACACACTAGAATCCCTATATCGCAGCAAGTATAGTCAAAATAGAAGTACATCTTATAGTATTAAATTTAAATTTAAATTATACTCATAACAAATACTAATAATTAAGTATAAAGAGTCATCTATACCTAAAAATTACATTAGCAATTAGCAATTGATATAGGGGCATAAATAGGACTACCAACGTAAAAAAAAAAAAAAAAATCACTGAGAGCATCCTAAACAACTGAACATTCTCAAGTGATATGTCAATTTCTTGGGAGAATAAGTACTTGGGTTATCAACAATCCCCCACTAACTGATAACCCTATTATATCCATGGAAATACTATCCCCAAAAGAGGGTAATACCCTTATCAGATACTAACCGAGATGAAACTAGTTTCAGCTCCCAAGTTCTCGACTTTTCTTTTTCCTGCTTTTGGGAACCTTATGATGTTCTTTAATTAAAAGATGTTTTAGGAGAAAAGTTGCATACAAGGATGACAATTTTATAATTTTTTTTATTTAAGAATACAAATTTTATTAATTTTTAATTAAGGTAGTAATTTTTTTTATTTAAAAATGTCAATTTTATATTTTATAATATTTTTTATTTAAATGTTAATTGAGTAATAATATTGACATGACAAATACAAAATTAATATTTTTACATATAAAAAATACAAAATTTACATCGTTAAATAAAAAAATCAAAATTAATATATTTAAATAAAAAATAAAAAATTTATTATCTTAATTAAAAACTAACAAAATTCACATTTTTAAATAAAAAAATTATAAAACTAGCATC